TTACAAGACGAGATTAATAATATGTAATATATTTACCTCGCTTACAGTATGCAGGTCTGATTTTTAGTTTCTGAGATATTATAATAAATATCTTCCATAAAACTCGTTATAATTTGATTTTTGACACTACATTTTTCTTTTCGGCTCTCTAAGATACAATTTTGAATAATAGACCATTACAAAGAGGCTGAAATGCTAAACAATTATCTCGCTCATAGCATGCAGGTCCAATTTTTAGTTTTTGAGATATTTTAATTCATATGAAAAACACTGCAATTAGTCGACTCTAAACGACTTTACCCGAGCATTACACGTCTTAAATCTGAAGGCGGAATCTAATTCACTCTCCACAACAAAGTACAAAACGCGCATAAAGAAGTTTTCTCTTCAAAATGTTTTGTACTGCTTACAGTGATAAAAACTTAAAACAAAGGCAGTGTCAAAATTGGTTCTGGAAATTTCGTACGTGAATATTTTAGGTTGTATATCATATATCAGTAATCCAATACTTTAAATTTGTATTTATTTTGCTTCACACTTAATACATTATTCTTTCAATGCCCTATGTTTTTAAAATTTACAATTTAAAAAAGAAAGAAGGAAAATTCTTAAGAAATAATAATAAATGAATAATAATAGACACGAACATTATTAAAACTTTAAGAATGTAAAATAAATTTAATCACTACATTTATTGTTTTCTTATCGTCTGGGAATGCCATAGAAATATTTTTGAAAACCCTAGCTCGTTCGGAGACTTCAGCTCTTTTCTACCATCCACGTCATTTGATTGGTAGCCAATAGAGGCTGTGAGAGGTTGGTTGAACCACAACTCTCCAGGTATTGAGTGGAGAAACTGGCCATTGCCTACATTAACATATATACAAAAGGTTTCGAGGCCACTGCCGTTTTAATCTCCGGGGAGGATTGTAGGGATGTTCGGATAAGGAATAAGCTAGAGGATTAGGATGATGAATAAAGTTCAAGTGAAATTTTGTAAATCTGGGTGGGTTGATGTCAAGGAAATATGGGATGTTAAAGTCTTGTTTGTAACATAATATGGAGCTTGACTATTAATCGAAGTCTTTTGACTGCAAGGATTGAATACAGTTGATATTCAATAATTTAGCAGCTCCTCACAGGTGGATCTACGGGGGGAGGAGGTGGAGAGAGAGGCTTTCGGCCTGAAGCCCCCTCCCCCCAAAAATGGTAAAATATAATCATGTTTTACAGAAAAACATTTTTAAAACTATCTCTTAAAGTATTCTTGTTCATTAAATTACATTTAATAGGACTTCAAGAACCACTTAAACACCATTTCATATAGGTAGTTAATTTCTTTCCGTTTTTTTCAAATTATTTATCGTTATATGTATATGAAATAAAAATATCTTTCGGGCTGAAGTCTCCCCCCCCCCAAAAAAAAAAATTAAATCCTAGATCCGCTGGTGCTGCTCCTTACAGGTCAAGTCCGTAGTTATGGATAGTTTTCAGTTCGATTTTATAGATTAATATTTTTTTTCGATTGAAATATGGGATATTCTGTTTATTGACCTGTATAACTGGCCAAATCGTCGTTTAAGCTCTTGCCTTTTAAGCCTGGTATGTTGGTTCCAACGTGGCTTCATTATTAAAAACTATTACTTAGTTATTTTTTATTTTATTCTCATCTGTATAATTTCTAATGAATTATTATTATTTGAAAACATTACTATCCTGTTCCAAGTAACGGTATCTTTAGAAACTGTTCCAACTGCTCTGATTCTGACCACTTATAGTAACCATATTATTTTTATTAAATAATGATGTTTTTAACCTACATCGGAGGGTAAAAGTAACATGGTTACATTTTTATTCATAAACTTTAATGCGCCAATTGAAGCACCACTGTTCAATCAGCGAAAGGTGTCTTAGTAAGTTGAGGGATTCTATTTCGGTGTCTGAGTGAGAGGACAGCATGGGGTATCGTCAGAAAATGTTGCTAGGAAGGTTTCGGAATCTATAGGAATGCCTTACCTGCAAGACACCAAAAAAGGAAAATTATTCTTATGAAGGTTGTCCCTGACAAAAAATATATCACTTGGAAAATTTTTGGAAAGTTTAACGCTGAAAAAAAATTTATGTTAACGAAAAATTTTTCTCTTAACCACCCCCTCTCAGTCTCTATTGGTTACCAATCAATTGACGTGGCTGGTAGAAAAGGGCTGAAGTCTCCGTACGAGCTAGGGGTTTCAAAAATATTTCTATAACGTTCCAGGACGATGGGATGACAATAAATGTAGTGATTAAATTTATTTTACATTATTAAAGTTTTAATAATTTCCATGTCTATTATTATTCATTTATTATTATTTCTTAAGTATTTTCCTTTTTTTTTTTTTTGTAAATTGTAAATTTTAAAAACATAGGGCATCGAAAGAGTAATGTCTTAAGTGTGAAGCAAAATAAATACAAATTTAACCAATTTCGATACTGCCTTTCTTTCAAGGCTTTGGCGTAGTAAGCAGTACAAAACTTTTAGAAGAGAAAATTTCTTTAGGCGCGTTTTGAACTTTGTTGTGGAGAGTGAATTAGATTCAGCCTTCAGATTTAAGATGTGTAACGCTCGGGTAAAGTCGGATAGAGTCAACTAATTGAAGTGTTTTTACATATCGATTAAAATATCTCAAATACTAAAAATTGGACCTGCATATTGTTAGCAAAGGAAATGTCCATCATTCCATCCTCCTTGTAATGAGCTACTATTCAAAATTGTATGTTAACGCGACGGCGTGTTAGGGAGGCGAACTGAGATAGCTGAAATGCATAGAATAAGATTGAAGAATGGTAAATTAATGCAGAATAGAAGCTTTAGAAAAAGACATAAATATATTCGCTGTATGTTATTTAGTGTCGTCAAACCTCTGTTTGATTTTAAATCTGTTATATTCGTTGTATTGGGCGTATCATTAACCATGACAAACAACATTACTTCAAGGTTAGTACTACAGATTGGCTGGAAAATTTTCTTGACCGCAGGCTGGAATTCCAGCTGGAAGATAGAACTGCGCGGTAGATTACATCTCATCAATATTCGGGGTCAGTACTTTCCTTATACACTCCCCTGTGTATGCACAGTGCCAGATTTAAAATGTTTTCCATTCAATAATAAACATTACGTCACTAAGCTATTATATTCTATATTTATTTCTAATAAATTTTACAATCGTATTTCTGCAAGTAAAACAAACATATATCTTCTGAATATTTTATATATGAGTGATTTTTAGCATGGATGGAGATCATTTGGACCTCCCCGGATGAGGAAGATATTGAGTAGACATTACATAACTTTAGAAACAATAAGTCTCTTGAGATAAATGAAATTCCGGCAGAACTACTGAGGCAAAAAGAGGATCTACAGAAAGAGTGGAAAAGGACAGTAATCTACCCAATTTTTTTTTTTTTGTTCTCCCGAGAGCGAGAAGAAAATAAAATCCTATAAAATTTTATTCCACCGTTAAGAACCTTGGAATAAATCCTTTCCTAGAAATCCAATCATTTATCCAATATCTTCATTTGTGCGTTTTCTACTATAAAACGTCTACATTACCTCCGCCACCTATTTCCATTTGAAACTCGTAAACTCCTGATCACTACGTTAATATTTTCTCACTTTGACTACCGCTGTACAGTGTATAGGGGCGTCTCTGGAGATCTCGAGACAAAACTAAATTTTTCATAAATTTTTTTGTACGATTCATCCTCGGGATCCCAAGGGATGCTTCTGTCTCCCGTTATTATGAAGATCTGAAATCGCTTTATCCTTCCTACCGTCGTACGTACCTCCTAGCTTCCTTCCTCTTCCAAGTCATCCAATCCCACCATCCTTCTTCATACGTCTTCGACCTCCTTCAATTCAAATCCTCTGTCAACTCCCGCCAAAACCCGGTCCCAGTCTTCAGATTTGTATATAAAGGCCTACCGAACTGCTGCCTTCAAGAGATCTTTCATTATCCGATCCTTCATTATATATATATACATAAATTATTAGCTCGTTTTAAATATTTTTATTCTACTTTTATTTTATTTTTAATTAATAAAGTTTGAAAATAACTTATATTCTTTTATTTATTATGTGAGAAACCATACCAGAAGAAACCGCTCGACGTTTCCGATTACTTCAGCACTTACTAGACAAATGCTCTAACCTTCCAATTAATTACAAAAAACTCATATACATGACTATAATAACGTTTATTAGTGAGCTATGGGGCTCCACTAAACCATCGAATTCCTCTCGTATTCAATCCTTACAATCCAAAATCCTTCGTAAAATCCTCAATTCTCCCTACTTTGTTACAAATAAAACCATCCATAATGACGTTAATGTTTCTTATGTTTCAGTTCTGGCCCGATTCAGATACCTATCCTTCCATAACAAACTTTAGAATCATTTACCCAACCCTTTCGTTTCTAACCTTGCTTCCTCTTCAATTCCTGATAACCCTCCGAGGCGTCTGAAAAGAAGATGGCCTCGTGATCTCCTAATGTAGACATATCATTAGAGTGCTACCATTGGGTAGTTTCTCAACAAGTGTTTTCACGTCATTATATCCATATGTTCAAATTTACTAAATGTATTTCTTTAATACAGTTGTAAATATCATAAAGAAATAAAAAAAATATTATGTTTATTTGTTTTTTGTAATTATTCTCTGAGGCTCCAAAAAAAATTTCTATCTCTGTATATTATTCTAAAGAGACTTGTCCCAAAATAAATAAAGTATTATTATTATTAAATCAATCAAAGCTGAAACAAGAATTTTCTCGTCATTAAATTTACAAATAAACCAACATTTCTAGGCCTAAATAATGTCTAGCAACATCTTCAACTTGAATGCGATTCAAAATTAATATAATATCAAAATGAACAACTTAAAATTTTCATTATCTGATAATTTATATAGTAATTTTGGTTTTTAAAATAAATTAATTTTCTGTTTGCAGCTGATGGAAGAATGTGCTGGTTATTTCTGTTCTTGTTATTGGAGCATGCTCTATCACAAACCCTTCAGACCATCAACATAAGTAAGTTTGCTCAATTGATTTCATCGATTCTGTTTTATAGACGAGTATAGGCACAGACTTTCTATTCTAGTTGGAAGTGTGATGGATCCTCCAAAGAAAAGTCTCAGGAGGTTTATATTATTAATAAAAAAGCTGCAAATTATTTCACAATGGTTTATTCTATCCAAACAATTATAAATCTAAAGTAATATAACATTCCTAGTGACAAAGAAAAAGAAATAAAAGGTGATTCCAATTATTGGACTAAACATTCTTTTTTTAATCATTAGTAATTTGCTAAAAAAATTAACATAACTTCAGTAACACACTCAAAAATCAAAAACCAAAACAAATGATATAACCTTTGCAGTAGAACATATAAAAAACATCTAGAAACTATATCTTTGCTAATAATTGGCCGATTTTAACGATTTTTTTTAGAAAATTCCGTCAACTTTTAAATAACTTTGTATATATCAGTGTATACTTTTTGAATTTTTTGTTCGTTCACAATGGTTTATTATTGAAAATAATAAACCAAAAATATTTAAAAATCGTGATATCTTTACTAATAGTGCCTTAATTTCGATGAAATCTTCTTCATCTTTTAGGAAATTTAAATATGTTTGAAACATTTTATTACAATATTGACAAAAAAAGTGTATACTTTTTGAGTTATTCGGAATCTAATTTTACCATCCTTCGTAACTTTTATCCAGCTCCTTTTCGTTAAATTATGTTATATAGATAAATTTAAAGGGCATCGAGAAGAAGACTTTAGCAAAGTTTCATTGAAATCGGTACGTTCGTTTAGGCGCTACAGTCTATAGCATCGCAGGTTTTTCGGCCGCCATTTTGAAACTAGAAGTAATGTCGTTGAAGGAGGATCATCCTCGGGCGACCTCTGATTTTATATCCAAATTTGAAAAAAATTGGTCTAGTAGTTTCAGAAAAATGCGCGGACGGCATATATATGCACTAGTAGTGCATATATAAGAGAAAGAGGTGAGTAGAATTCAATAAATAATAATAAATAATAATAACTTAATAATAATAATTTAATAATTCAATAAATAATAATAACTCCTCATATCATATCAACGGTCAACCATCTCTACATCATAAATAAAAAATGTTTAGTATTTAATATTGACGGATCTTGACGCCGTTTTTAGTCTACCTATTGTAGGTCAACATTTTTTATCATGTTAACCAAATTCTCTACTTTAAAATTTGACACACTTTTAGCTACTATATGTTAGAATAACATATTTTTTAATAAATATCAAATTTTGAATTTTTCTTTATACTAATGCATTCAACTAGTAACTAAGAAATTATCAAAATCAAAGACTCTTTGGGCCAGGCGTTGGTTACTTTGACATGGAATGACACACACACAAATACCTAAAACTCTACATACCGACTTATAACAACAGAATATCAACCAACACATACGCATTCTTTATAACCATTTTCATAATAATCTTCACGGGCATAACTGATGAAAGGTATGACAAGCTCAGTAAGAAGCGACTGAAAAGAAGCTGAATGAGAGACCTCTGTACTTGTGTAATATCCTTAAACATGCTTAACATACCGTAACTGACTTGTTCTCATTACATTAGATGATTATCACTCATTTGCGACTGGTGTGTATAAAGAAAAAACTGATAAATATATTTTAAATAAAATAATTTACAATTAACAAGATGAAATATTACCACTAGTATAAAATCATACCTAAATACAAATATTATACAAGCTAATTCTATTCAACTACATATATCGTACAATAGGAGATATCCTATCAACTTCCGGTTTTTGTTCCCTCAGTTAATGTGTATTCTACTTTAACAGGAATGTAAGGTTCAACGGTATATAAAAAATTAGCATTAAAATTATAATACCAAAAAATTAAATGTACAATTATTAGTAAAGCAAAATCAGGAGAAAAGTAAAAATATAATAATATTCATTCAGTGTTAAGCACAATATAATAGTATAGTATAGGTAATCAATATAATTCAATAATTAAAACAAACTAGTATAATGTATAATAACTCTCGAATTAGGCCAGTAGTATTATATTAATATTTGTATTCACTTGAACGATTAAATTATATATTATAGAGATAGGAATTTATTCAAATATGAGAATTATTTAAAACGCTTTTTCAGTTCAAACTAAATTTAAAGACATTCGAAATTTCAAATTACATTTTGATAGCTCTAGTTACCTTATCAACCCTCCTAAATATTTATTTTTATTTTTATTTATTTATTAACAACTATATAGGATTGATTATAAGTTGTTGCTAGAATTTTTTAAACAGCTAAAACGTCTAAAATTTTGCTTATTGCAGATAACGTATCAAATGAATAATTCCTAAAAAAAAAGATAAATTTATTAATGTCCAAAAAACATTACTCTTCCTTGTAAATAAACAACAAGTAAGCCGATGGGAATGTGATGGTAACCTTTAACTAAATCACGCATCTTCGCGTGTTTCTAACCCGCTCAATATCTGATAAGTGAGTTGCAATGGATTGTCCATTTACTGTCAGTAAATATAATATAAAAACATGAAAGAGAAAAATTGCCGTATAAATCATGAAGAGAGGTATACCAGGAAGTATGTAGTTAACCATCAAACACCCAAAAATAAACGATTAAGTTTCAATAAAACAGGATTTATTCATTGTTATTCTGGGGGGACTTTATTCCTGAATAAAAACAAAAATTCTAAGAAATGGGGCATTTTCTCATTAAATTAATTAATTTAATGAGTTGCTATAAACAGGTGGAGGTCACGCCAAACGGTCCAATATTTTTGTAGGCCACCATTTTTTTTTTTTTTTACGATGTTGTGAACAAATTATTTTACGATTTAAGTGGGAAGCAAATGGCGTTCTTTTTTTTTAGTCCCTCGTTAAATAGACAATGTTTGTCGATCTCAAGCTGAAAATTCCCGATTTTTGAGAATTTTCGGAAATAAATAAGTTATAGGTTATGATAAGATGAAGCTATTCACGAAGTTTTTTAAGGATGTTAATAATTTGATAAATGGGATCTGTTCCCTGAACTATAAACTTTTAAGTAGATTTTTATTAATTCCGACGTCATTTATTGATGCAAAAACATAGTTAATACAAGGGATGGCAATCGGTAATCGATATTATCGACTATCGATATCGTCCCTTCGATATTTTAATATAAAAATAAAAATTAAAACTATCGTTTTCGGAAAGCGCTTGGAATCCATGAATGGGATCGTCAGAAATAATATATGTATTCATCTTGCCTGTTTCATATAGAATGTACTGCATAGTACAGAAAAACATCGATATTCCGCTAATATCGACTACTAATGGTCATTCTTAAATATAGTTGAATAGGATTGCGTAGGATCCTTTTCACTCAGTAAACTCAATTTGTCAAAATTTCTTAGATAAAACCTAGACCACGAATCGCCTAAGAAATTTATATAGAATACAAATAAATTTGCTATTTGCTGAATCCGATCTATGGGTGAATAAAAATTTCTATAAAACTGCTGAGGATAACAGATGGACAGAAACTAGAAAATTAATTTTACTAAGGAGGATAGAAGAATTTATATTTTCATTACATCATTTAAAGAAGAAAATAACATATTTTTTGATGAGCCTATATGCTAGAGAATCGATATGTTATATCGATATTCATATTTCAAAAAAGTTTATAATATCAAGTGAAAATATCGACAATCGATATTTGAAATCCGACATTTTGATGGTATCGATAGTTATTCGATTAAATCGATGACAATATCTATAATGGGCCTATATCGATATCCCATCTGTACTTAGAACATCTAAATGACACAAAGATGTTTAATATACCCTTGGAAAGCTAAATATTTTAGAATAATTAATATCTAACATATAAAAAGTAATGAAGAGTGAGGGAAAACCAATGAATTTTAATTGTTGCAGTTAATAGTGTCTATTTTATTGTTGTTCAGTATTGAATGAGCAATAAATTTTTTCATGGAAACTGAATGAAATTTTAATGGAGCTTTATTTTCAGCTTAAAAAACCAAAAATATATAGTGCGAGGAATTGTCATACATCAAATTTAATTGCCAGAAATTCTTATTTATAATCAAAGAAGTATTCTTAAGATTTGTAACATTTAAAATGATGAGTGAAAGTTCTATCATAGACCGCAGCAATTTTTTTTCGTTATTAAAGCATATTCTATCCTTGCACAGGCGGATCTACGAGGGAGAGGGGCTTTTGGGCTGAAGCCCCCTCCCCCAAAAAAAATGATTAAATGTAACAATGTTTTATGTTAAAAAATTATGTTTTAAAGTATTATTACTCGTTTAATCACATTTAATAGGACTTCAAGAATCACTTAAATACCATTTCATATAGATAGTTAGTATATTTCTTGTTTACTAAAGTAATCATCGTTATATATAGAAAAAAAAAAGTTCCGTGGTGAAGCCCCCGCAAAATTAAATCCTGGATCCGCTATTGTAAGCTTGTGAAAATCCCAACTTCAATTATTTCACTTAACTTTTCAAAATTAATTCCAACAAATTCCATCAAAACAGATCCACCCTTCGTCGTAAACCTATGACTTCCTGTCCAGCATTATCCTTTAATAATACCCCATTTGATTATTGTGAAGTGTTTGTTTTGGCCGATAATTAATATACCGTAAATACTACAACAAACATATTAATAACTTTATACGCCTCACAGACTCTACAATATCACCTAAACAAATTCTACAACTGGTGCAAACTCTGGAAAATTCGACTCAACCAAGAAAAATCACTACATATCACTTTTACCCTTCGACGTGAAACTTGCCCTGTTATTTACCTTGGCAATATCCAAATTCCTCAGGCAAACAGTTCAATATCTTGGACTGACCTTTGACAAAAGAATGACATGGGGCCACATATCAAAAACAACACAAAAACTCTAAACCTAATACTACGACTATTGTAAATGCCTTGCAAGAAATTTGAAATTTAAACTTGGACAGAAATTGAATACGTCAATTTATATACTTAAGCCTATTTGGCCCTACGCTTCACAGATACATGGGGCAGCCAAAAAGACTCACATACGTAAATTACAGACTTTTCAATCTAAAACTTTCAGGACTATCACCAAAGCTCCCTGGTACGTCAGTAACATTACTTTACATAAAGACTTACAGATGCCAACAGTTAACGACCACATGGGAACATACTACAAAAGATTTCATAATAACTTACACGGGCATACCAACTCATTGATTGGAGTATTGACCAAAATTAACATGCCCGATAGCACCCGAAGGAGGCTTGAAAGGAGCTGGATGAGGGATCTCCTATATATATTAAACTAAATTCAGTTAAACTATAAATATTACACTCAATATAGGAAGTACGCCGCTGGGTACTCCCTCACGCCTATTCCAATTCCAATTAATCTTCTACATCTTGACATCACACTCGCTGATTGACAGAACTTCTGACAGGTGTGAGTTGAAGAATCGAGTTAAAAAAAAAAGAAAAAAAAAAGCTTTATGATAAATTTGTGTTTTATTGTTAGTAGTAATCTATAAATAGGAATCCAGTGGATACAAAGGACCTGTTCAAAACATTGGATTCTAATCAGCTAATTTGTTTACAAAGCAATCGACCCAACTCGATAGAAAGGAAAGCATCAAATTAGAACGTTTGAAGGGTTCACTCTGGAAAATTTCCGAAGAGGGCCATATTGGTATTGCCAGAAGCACTTATTGTATTATGCCTGTAGCAGCTTCAAGTGTTTTCAGTTAAACATCAGGAATCGCTTATATTGGATTAAGGAACGGATATCACGTCATCGGCTGAGAGGAAGTTCAGCACTGACGTCAAAGCTTTCAAAACTGGTTCATACATCTTCCACAAGATTATACCCCTGTTCAACTTTCGTAACAAGATAAACGAAAGGAAAAAAACAAGTTTAGCTTTCAAACGGTTTAATTATCATTTGCGAAAACCGTATGTCATGAAAAATTATGAGAATGCTCACGTCAAACAAACTTTATTCTTATCTTCATTTAAACTATATTAGAACCATTCAAAAATTTCGTTCATATGTCTAAATTTCCTGATTATTTATTTAAAATATTTTTTTTTCTGATAACTCACTCATTATTCTCTAGCTTATATAACTAAAAAATTAAAAATTGATCCACCGTGAACAATTTTTAATTTTTTTAACTACCTTCTGCCTCGCTATTTCAGGAATATGAAGGGTTGTTCTAGAGGCACAGGTCACTAGAGGATCCAGGATTTAATTTTTTTTTTGGGGGGGGAAGCTTCAGCCCGAAAGCTTGTTTTTCATAAAAATTACGATAATTACTTTGGAAAAAAAGAAAGGAAGTAACTATCTATATGAAATGGTGTTTAAGTGATTCCTTAAGTCCTTTTAAATGTAATTACACGAACAATAATACTTTAAGAGATAATATTTTAATGTATTTTTCCATAAAACATGGTTATATTTTTCCGTTTTGGGGGAGGGGCTTCAGACCGAAAGCCCTCCCCTCCACCCGTACATCCACCTGTGGCACGGGCAGATCTATTATCTCGAATCTATTTATAAAAAAAAATATTAAAAACTATCTCTTAAAGTATTAGTGTTCGTGTAATTACATTTAATAGGACTTCAAGAATCACTCACCATTTCATGTAGGTAGTTGATTTGTTTCTTTTTTTTTAAAAATAATTATCGTTATATATTTGAAAAAAAAATCTTTCCAGCTGAAGCCTCTCCAAAATGTAATCCTGGATCCGCTCGTGTCTAGAGGCACAACCAAACGTATTCTAACCACAGTGGAAAGGTCGAGATTCATTCCATACCATTCATTACTTCCAAAGTAACTACAGTTATTTAAAAAATATATATTTAATTCTGGATCTGCTTCTGCTCTTATGAAGTTCTTTAAAAGGTCTATATAAAAAAATATAGATAGAGGGTGTCTCAGTTCTTCATGGTCAAACATGGAGGGATGATTATAGATAAGATAATCAACAAAAAAGTTTATTTGATGCGTGGCCCAATTCTGAACGGAAACGGAGTTAAGACCAATTTTTTATTTTTGTTAAGGTGGTCACGTTTTTTATTGAATTAGAAAGAATGAAAAAATTGCTCAAAATCTGTTCAAGACAGGGATGCCGAGAAGGAGATTTCATAGAGCAACTTGCACCATCAAAATTTTTGAAGAGGGGTCATACTTTAATGGGGTTTTGGATTTTTGAGGTGGCACATTTTGATGAGGTTATGAATTTTCTGAATGGAAAGTATCAAACCAGGGAACAAGAGCAAAACATGGAACAGACCGCAGCAATTTTATTATATATGATCTACATTTTTTCAATTCTACTACCGTTTACACTGTTTTTAAGATGAGGTGAGTAATAAAATATCTTGGGAGAGGAAGGGGAGAAAGGTTCTGCGCTATCGACCTTGGGGGGATGGGCACCCCTAGTTCAAGATAATTGAACCTTCACCCCTCACCCATAGTTGTAGAAGAAAAATAACCTAAACAAAAACTAAAACCGTTTTGGAAAACATAGACTGGTTTTAAGTCTTTAATTCCAATCAAACCATTATTTTCTTAGTTAAGATAGATGCCAGTTGAATTTTAACTAAACTTATAACGGATACTAATAAGAATAAATCTTGGTATTGCACTGTGACTAATTCTAAAAAGTAAAATACATTAAAAAAAAAACATTCTCTAACTTCAGCCTACTGCTTGTTTCAATAATAACAATATAAAGCTAGCAGAAAATATTTCTCTAATACACGATCAACAAATATATAAAAGTAAGTAATAAATTGCCATTCCTCTACAATTTATTGCTTGCTGAGTTCAAACATGTAGGAGTCCTCTTTTGTTTACATCCCCCCTATGATGAAAAATTTAGTGAAAAGCTGAGATTCATGCGATCCGAAAAGGATTTTCAGATAATTAACAACTAAGGTAAGTGTATACTGTAGTAGACACTACAACGGCCATATTAGACCTTCTGAAAGTTTCTTTTATCATTGACCTTAGTAAATTTAATCACATTTTTCCAAAGAAAATGTCTACTTTACAGAGGTGTACTTAGAATTTAATTTTCATTGAACAGTTTTTCAGTAATGCCTTCTTACTCAATAAAAAACATGACCACTTTAAGAAAAACATAAAATTGGTCTTAAATCCATTTCAATTCGGAATCAGGTCACGCATCGGATGAACTTTTTTGTTGGAAATTTTGTCTAGAATCACCTTCCACAGTTTGGCCATTAAGAACTGGGACACTGCATAAAGAATTCGACTTTTTGTAAGATGTCTACTGGAATATAATTAAATAATACAGATCTTACTGATATTTGTATGTAACAATTAAATTATTTCAGCTGAAGGTGGTGCTGTGATTAAAGCTTTTTTAAATGATCTTTATATGATAATAGCTTCCTCAAAATGAGAGGTAATTACTTAAAAAGCAGCATTTATATAAAATATTTTGCATTTTTCAAACAATGCAAAGCTCCATTTAATTATTCTCGTGTATTTATAAATTGAAAATCTGAATTAATTCATATCTTAAGTCTTTCCATTAAAATTGTTTTATTGTTCCAGTTTTCATATTCTAAATTAGAGCATTAATTATAAAACCACTAACTTAACAATACATAATGAAAAATGGCTGTAAATAAACATAATTTAATATAAAATATAAAATACTTTTTTTTCAATTTGTTTCCAGTAACATCCTAAGGGACCCACCAAGGCCTCAATTTCATTGCCAAAAAAATTAATATTAATCAAATAACATTTTTTTTATTTTTTAGTGAAATTTTCTTAAAATATATTTATGAAATTAATCACATTAATAAACTTTAACTACACAATAACTATTTAATAAGGAGCATAAGCTAGAAAATATAAAAATAAATATACATAGGTATATTTTTTAGTCACTTGAATTGTTTTCAGGAGTGCCTCATATAGTTAAATTCAGCTGGCCATCAATTTAGCAATTGATCATTAGAAACAACAAGCATGATGGTAGAAGTAGATATAAATAATTTTAGAAAACTACTTTTTTAATTTGAAATAAACATTTTTTTATTCTGTATTTATTTTTTGCTTTGTTTTGTTATGAATTCTAAAAAATAAGCCCCTTGGCTGCATACCAAAGAATTTTTTTTATTTATGAAGCCCTAAATGGTCGAGGTATGCCATTACTTCTTTTTTAAAAGCCATAACTCATATCGAAGATTTTCTATTCTCATTTCTCTAGTGAAACTAAAGTCCTTCTTAATCTCATTAAATTTCTTAATCTCATGCAAATCTGTGGCAATGTCTTCTTCATTATCATTCCTAATTTTGTTTTTTTCATTTCTCATCTTCAATCCATATTATGTGCCCTGTTCATCACTATTTCTTTTTATATAAATATTTTACTACATTCAGTAAATCGGTCATTTCTTTGACCCGTTTGTTGGAGAAATAAAGAGTAATTATTAAATTAATGTATGATATTTTCCCTCTTTGTTACCAGTGTTTATAAATGAGGCAAAGAACCAATTAGCGGAGAAGAGTTTTGATGTAGTCCTGAATTACTTAAAGAAGAATCCCAAGCTTGGTGTTAAAGTGGAGGCAGTCGTACGAGTGACTATATCAGGAACGGACGCCAAGGCTATTCTTGAGTCGAGTAAGTACATAATATACTATTAAATAAGTTCTATTACAGTTTAACTTAATTCTTCTAATTTTAAAATAGGTTAAAAAAAAATGGTCTAATTTTGTTACTAATTACCTCCTTCTCCTATATACCGTTTATAGTATATAAACAATTAAAAAACTCGAGAAGAAACATAAGTAATTTAAAAAATAATAAAGAAAAGAAAAATGAAAAAATTAAAATAAATAGTAGCAAATACACCCACGTAAGTTTCTCTCTTAGGAAAGCCTCATGTCCACCCTTAACGATTGACAGTAATCCAGTGCCTTCAAAAAACTATGTAGGGCATCTCAGACTCTACTTAGACAAATGACTTACTTGGAACATACATACTAAATTAAAAAGACAAGAACTGACTAGAAGATATAACCAACTCTCACATCTTCTGGACTACAGATCCTCACTTGACTTACGAAACAAGTGACTGATCTACAACATCATACTGAGACCAATTTGGACATATGTAGCAGAACTTTAGGGTTCAGCAAACCAACACACATAGATAAAATACAACAGCCAAATAAATAATTCTACGAAAAATTGTCAATGGAGCTTAGTACATTTCAAATAACACAATACATAATGACTTAAACATCCCAACAATAAAATCTTACATTGACAACAAATACACTTCATTTCATTCTTTAACTCAAAATCAATTCAGTCCATTAATCCTTTCTATTTCCTGCTCCCTGTTACCTGATAGATGTAGACTAAAAAGAAAATGGCCGAGGGACCTACTCCTACAATAATAATGAAATGAAAGCTAATCAACAAACTCGCAGCTAACGCATAATACATCAAATTTTCTAGGTCAGAAATCTGGAAAATAGAATGTTACAATAAAAAAGTAATTAGGTTATAAATAGAAAAATCCTCCAAGCTTTTATGGTTTGAAATTTTCCATATAATAATTTACAGTATATTTCATAATGTCTTGAAAATATATAAGGCAGTGGATGTAAAAGTGGTGTTAATTTAGACATTCCGTATTTTTTTCTTAATTATTTTTTGTCCTGTTGGCTTCAGAGACCATATAAATCTTTGGCCACCATAAACATCCATCTCCATCCCTGCTTATCTTGGGCTGTTGCTTTCTAGTTATCTGCATGCAGCTTTTTTCCTTTCAACTTGATCCCTTGCCTACTATTGTAACATTCATAGTTTTTTAGTGGTCTTTATTGGTCCTTCTCTTCCCTGTGTAGAGTACTCCAATACTACATTGCTTCTGTTATCATGCAGAGGATTTTCTTCTAATTTTTCAATACTTCTTTCTAGAGTGCTTTGAAAAAAAAATTTGGAACCTATATAACATTGTATAGTGTGTTAAAAAACTGTCCATGTAGAATAATGCTTAATTTAGTCCATGTAGAATAAATTGTTAATGATAACAATATATTTGATACTTTTTAATATGCAATAAGTTATTTCTTTTGATCCATACTTGCTATCCAAAATAATTTGAATAATTTTATTTATTTAAATTTATTAGAAGCAGGCCTCAGTATGTAAAAGTGAATATTGTTGATCTAAAACTTATTAATCCAATCTATTAGAATGACAAGTAAACAAGAAAGCTATACAACAATACCCTGTCAATAGCCCACATATTTTAACATTGCCCGCTCCACAGTTATAAATAAATCGATATCGTGAAAGGTTTTGATAGCCTTGGAGAATGATAATAGTCAATCTGATAAATTATTATCTTTTCTAACTAATGTAAATTTAATAAAAGAGATATAACAATAATTTTAATTATCATATAATAATAATTTATTTTTGAATATTATTTAATTTTATCTAATTATTTCATTATTTTTTATATTATTTAATTTTATCTAATTATTTCATTATTTTTATATTATATTATCTACTTTTTTCAATCTTTAAAATTCTTTCTTTTTATTTAGTGTTTTATTTTTATAAAAATTTTTATTTTATATATATTTTTGATTCATATTTCTCTCCTCCCTTCCCTCCCTCCCAATTCATCTGTATGTAATATTTTTGTTTTTATTAATCTACCAGCCAAATATTTTATTAATCAAAGTATGGTATCCTATAAACTGGTTCTAGTAGTATTATTTTATTGATTGGATACTGATGACTTTGTGACATTAATATTAAAAAAACAAACTAAAAGACATAAATAAAAAACATAGAACACTAAAATAAATAGAATATTTGTAAATTAGTTCATGATATGAATTTCTGATATAAGAATACATTTTTTTTACAGTATGTGAATCCTATAACGGTACTGTTATGGATGGAAAACCACCTCATATTGTATTGGACTCGACAATGGATAGTATTCCTTCTGAAGCTGTCAAAACGTTCACTGATGCTCTGGCTTTACCTACTATCAGTTCATCTTTTGGGCAAGAAGGAGATCTCAGGTATTAATTAAACAAACGAAATGAATTAGGAAATGTTTGGGAAAATCTGACCATAACACAATAGAATAGTAACAAACAACTGCAAACTATAGATTTACCGGAAACTTCGGAAGTTGTTTAGAATTGGATTTGAACATAAAACATATGGTGAAAAGATTAGCTTCTTGAAGATAAGAAAAAAAAAATTAAATATTTCCTTGATATTATTTCTCTGTAATAAAGTTAGGTATAAGATAGCTTAGTGTTGATTCTCAAACTGGATGCTGCAAGTGTGTGAATTGGGTACCATGGCAATAATATTTTAATATTAATTACTTTAGATGAATAAACATTCTGAATATTCATAAATTAATATTTATTAATGACAGAATTAAAATTAAAACTATTCTATCCCAGTGAGAACTCTTACATGAGATAGCTATCCTTCTTAGTAGCATATTTGATGCATAATCGACTTCAGAAAAACATGTTTATTCGTATAATATTATCAAGATAGTAGTCAAGAATGGGTAATTGATGAAGCATCAAACTTTACCACTACCGTTAAAGTACCAATTTACTTAGTAAGTGATTAGCTTGTCCCACGGGAAAGAGAAATAAGACACATCCATCTCTGAACTTATAATAATCCATTATTGTATTTGTTCAATACTTATTTGTTTGGTGTCGGAACAGTCTTGGTTCACAATTCCCTTACTTACTTAGAGTATAGAAATCTATTACTGAGAGTATAAGTATCAAAAAGTTTCTTTCTATATTATCCCAAGTGCCCAAGAGATCATAGACTTATTCTCCTCCATTTATCTTTTCAATATATTTTTAGTTTGTTGAAAATTATAATAAATTACAAAAATAAATTGTATTAATAGATTACATTAATGGAAAAATAGAACTTTTTATACTTTATTGACAGTTTTCTAGTCATGTGCACCCCAGTTCTGATGACTTGAACTTTTTTATTTTTTTTAAATTTCTTAATGATATTTACAACTGTATTAAAGAAATACATTTAGTTAATTTGAACATATGGATATAATGACGTGAAAACACTTGTTGAGAAACTACCCAATGGTAGCACTCTAATGATATATCTACATTAGGAAATCACGGAGCCATCTTCTTTTCAGATGCCTTGGAGGGTTTTCAGGAGGGTCTTATTATAGTCATGTATATGAGTCATTTGTAATTAATTGGAAGTTTAGAGCGTTTGTCTAGTAAGTGCTGAAGTAATCAGAAACGTCGAGCGGTTTCAGTCTGGTATGAGGAACTTTGAACTTAAATTTTGACATCCCTTCTTGTTAGTTTGAGATAAAACAAGAGTTGGTTTACAGATCAAGACCTAATCTGTTATTTTAACCAATAGTGAAGCCAACATAAAGTTTTTCTATCATACATTTTAAAATAATTTCTGATTGATCTCAATTTGAACCCTCTAAATCCGTTTACTAGAACTGATCATGGAAACTAGGGTTCACATTACCCCTTTGACAAGAACTCCTCAAGGGAACTACATTTCCCAAAATCTATAATCATCTCTAAAAATTTATCGAACCATAATTTCCACATTTTCGAATCTATTTCATCATCAGAAACCCAGAAACTTCTTAATTCAATAAGTGCAGATTTATGGGTTAAAAGCTAATATTTATCAATAATATTTTATTATTATTTGCTTTCAGGCAATGGAAAACTTTAGATAATGAAAAACAGAAATATTTAATTCAGATAAATCCTCCCGCTGATATTATTCCAGAAATTGTCAAAAGTATAGTACAACTTCAGAACATTACAAATGCTGGAATCCTTTATGATGATTCTTTTGGTAAGTCATAATTATATTTATATATTGTTTCATCTTGACAATGTTTAAGTATTTAATCATGAATAATACATGTTACTAAAAATATTATACCGCCATATAAATCAAGTCCAGATCTGTCATCTTGTTCCCCTTTTAATTCCCATTAATTTTTTGTTAAAAGTTTATATAAGATCAGCTTTAATAACTTTTGTTTTGTGCGATTGGTCATGACCTCTCTGCCCACTCTTCCACAATAAATAATAATAATATTTATTTGTACTTACAATGAAAAAATAAATAGGCAAAACCTTCTTGTATGTACAAAATCAACATTTTAGTTGAGGTTTTGTGTTTGGTTTTCTTTTTTTTTTCCCTAGCTCTGTTACAACCACATTAGCTAATGAACCTGTCCCATCCGTTTCCACTTTATCCTCTCCAATACTATTCTCTTCCAGACTGCTCCCCCACAGGTCTTCTTCATCTCCTTGTCCTAGTCTATCGGCGGTCATCCTCTCTTCCTCACGTGATCTCTTGGATACCAATCCATAAACTGCCTGGTCTATATTATATCATTCCTCCTGATTACATGTCCGGTCCAGATTCACTTCCTGATGTGCACTTTTTCCACAATATCTGGAAGGTCAGCCTTAGCTCTGAACCATTTATTTGCTTTTCTATAGCTTTGCTATAATCCGAGAAGATATTGCTCCATTGCTCAATTTGTCACAAGTCTTCTGGTCTATTACCCATGTATCACAACCTATGTCATGACAGGAAGTAATGTGCTCATCCAAAGTTTTCTCGTGACCTCTGAGCTTACCGAGCATCTATATATATCTTTAAATTTGAAGAGTGCACGCTATTCCTGGGCACATCGCCTGATTATTTCTTCAGTTTATCCTTTAATTGAGATCAGGTGCCCAAGATATAGAATTGTTTCTACTTTCTCTATATGGTGTTCACCTATTTTTATATCTCTATCAACATTCACTGAAATATACTTGCACTTTTTGTAATTGCCAAATAAAAGTCAACTTATAACATTATCTTAATTAATGAAAAATTCACTATTGAATGACTTATTGTCACAACAATCAAAAAGTAGAAACAAATTGTATTTTTATTTGTATTTGTATAACAATTTGTATTTGTATAACAAATATTTTTTATTTGACCTAAAAATAAGATTTTGTTCTAAACTGGCTACTCTCTAAATTGTGCCTCTTGGATCAGGTGTTCCATTTATCTCTTCCACTTATCTCATTGCATCCCATTTCAATACTTTAATAAACACTTAAACTATACTTCATGCTCCATCATTAAGTGATAATTCAATTAATTAAGATAAAATTGGCAATTTTTCATCTATTATATTGTATTGTTATTCTTTTAGTGATGGAATACAAATATAAATCACTTCTTATTAACATGGCCACAAGGCACATTATCGTCCATGTAAATAATGCAGAAAATATTGTAAAACAGCTGACAAGATTCAGAGACCTAGACATTGTCAATTTTTTCATTCTTGGAGGATTACCAACAATTAAAATTGCTCTTGATACTGCGAGTACGAAGCAATATTTCGGGAAGAAATTTGCTTGGCATATAATTACTCAGGTATGTGAAATATATTTGAATGTACAGGAAGAAAGGAAACTGACTATTTATTAATATAAAATACTAATAACTTACAAAGATACAATCATAAAGATATTAGACATCAGAGAAGATATAGAAAGATATAGGATATTAAAAGATATTAAGCCTTGAGGCTCTAAAGTAGCAGACATTCAGTGTTTCACCAATTCAGGCATCCTCAAGACAGAAAAAATACATGACGTATACACAGATCAAATACAATACATCTAACATCAAGAGTCTAAAAAAAAAATTAAAATAAAGACAGATCACTCCAAGATGTCAATTTGAATGGATATTCTTAATACACGGAAAAGGGATTTAAAAAAAAAAAAACCATTATTTAAAATGAATTATTTTCAGTGTTAATTTTTAAACTAATTCTACTATCGAATCTATATTATTTTTTTTTTCAAAACTAATTCATTGATACTATACCAATTAATTAAACACTGTAAAATTATTTAACTAAGAGCAATAATTCTCATCCTTGAGAGAAGTTGGGAATTGAAAAGTTTCGTCGAAATATTATATTTTATGCCTTGATATGGTATGATATTTTATCTTATTTTGAGTTATAATACAGAGCTACAAGTTCATTACTGTTTTTTTTTTTTACAATTCCTCCAATAAATTTAACAAAAAATATTAAAAATATTCTTTATTTTGCAATGATTGTTACTCTTTGGGACATTGCCATTGTAAACTAATAATAATAATAACAATAACTACATATTTTTCTTACACAAAAAAGATAAAATGGACAAAATAATAGATCTAACTCTCTGTAAGTGCCTGGATAAGTTTAAATAAACGAAAGAAAACATATTCTAACAATAAGAGAAAAGAATTTAAAATAAAAAATTGAAAATTACCCAGAACATCAGCAAACATTCAAAATATACTAAAAAGAAAATATTTGTCTACATTATACTTTATGTTACAATTACATTATAATAGTTTTTATTATGTTGGACCGAGTGATGAGAGCCATTGATAAAGATAACTTATTACAAAAAAAAAAAAAAACATGATGATTATAAAAGGAACTTATACATTTTCAAAATTGATTTTGGGCTCATAGTTATTTACTGAAGATTGAATAAATTGTAATAACAAATATTTCTATATTTCATAGAATATCTGTATAATATTTTTTGTGTAGTATTACTAGTTGATTAAATGGTGTTAAGATTTTAAAAATGTCAGTTAATATATAATTGCCAAACTTATAACTATTTTTTTTATTAGTACTCTAAATTCATTTCACATTTTAAAATCTTGAAACATCTGGTTTGAACAGGATAAGGGGCAGCTATCATGCTCCTGCAGCAATGCGACAATACTCTACGTTAAACCTGAACCCGAGCCTGGTATGAAAGAGAGGCTCGACGGTTTAAGGAATTCTTTTAATCTTGTCGAGGAACCAGAAATCACATCAGCATTTTATTTTGATTTCTTTCTACACTCCATCTTAGCAGTAAAGTAATTAATGAATTACATTATTCATTACAAATAAATAAATATAGAGTAGCATTCAAAACTCACTTTTTTTAATTTATAGAAATCTGCTAGATAAGGATGACTGGCCAAAAGATTTCAACTATACTCTTTGCGACGATTATAGAGCGGATAGAGAGATAATCAGGAAAGACATAGATTTAATGAAAAACCTAAAAACGGTAATTTTATGAAGTTATAAATTATACTGTAAAAATAAATAAGATTTTATGCCAATCAATAATAAATATTATAATTCTGTTACTGTTTATTTTTAGTCTAATAATATAAAAACGATTCTTCCCGCATTTCCATCGCATTTAATCTAATGCATGTCAATTCTAAAAACTCGAAACCCGGCAATATCTTCCCCTTCTATTATTTGAAATGTACCATCCATTTAATAAACAGCAATATAATTATATAATATGAAAAGTTCATCTATTTTTCATAACTTGAAAATGAGCCAAAAGGCTCGAAACATTGTTATGACTTGAATAATTAGTAAAATTATAAAGGAATTTCAATCCTTGAAGACACCGTATATAAATACTATAATTTCTTTTAAAATTATACTTTTATTAACAGGTAAACGAACCCTATTCGTATGCTCCATTTTTATTAGAAAGGAATGGAAACAGTTTTCCTGAATTTGTCATGAAGCTGGAAAAAGTAACAATTGTAAATTCACAATCTGAAAGCGCAGAAAGTATGGGCACATGGAAAGCAGGATTGAATTCACCAATAATTCTAAAAGATGCTACAGCTATGAATAATTTTTCAGCAGTTACAGTTTACAGGGTTGTTACGGTTAAGGTAAGATTGTTATAAATTTAATTTTCTTTTACTATTATTTATCTCAGTGGATGTTAAGATTATTGAAGTATATCATGTAATGATTTTTCTGATGTATGTATTAATATAGTCTACTATACTAATACTATATCAATGATCTCATTCTTTATTTATATATTTTCCTCCAATTTATGCTTATTGGATAATACAAATAAAACAGTAAACCACAAGACTGCACTGGGGATCTAGGGTAGGTGGTAATCCAAACTTTTTTGAGGTTTCAATTTAATCAAGAAGTATTTACCTCTTTGGTGAGCCAGACATAGTAAGCCAAATATGAATGGGAAGATTGAGGATGGCTGGCCATGTAGCTCATTTGTAAGAGAAACACATAGAAATGAGTGAAAATATTTCATATTACCAGATGCAAAGAAAGAGAGTATCTAAGATGAATGGATGATATAACAAAGGATGCCTCAAGAATCTCGAGGGTAAGGAATTTGAGAGTAGTTGCTCAACAATATACAGACTGTAGGAAGTTATTATAGGAGGCTTGAGATCAATCATGGTCTATCGAGCCAATAGAAGAAGAAGACTGTTAAACCCTACCTAAAACCTAGCTAGTTGGTTGATCTATTTCTTGTTGATGATCCATGTTTCTACTAAAACCGGGTCATTCAAATCAATTTGAATCAGACCTCTCTCTCCAGTAATATTTTAGTAAAAGAATAAATTACTCTGTATAGTACTTTAGTGATTATATTATATGTATTTCTTTTAAAAAATATTTTGTATCAATACTTTCTACATAACTCATTATCAAACAGCCTGAAGTAGAAATTTCAAAACAATATAAGTAAGAAAAAATAATGATTAATAATCATGGAGAATGTCCCAGAAAATTACAAAAAATAAAATGCAAATAAATCAATTAAATTTATAATTGACAAATAATAACTACTAGCAGGGGTGACCACCCTCCTCCCCCCCCCAAGGCCAATGGCACAAGAATCAACCCCTCCTTTCTCCCAAGATATTTTATTCCTCACCTTTTTTAAAAACAGAGCAAGCTAAGGTAGAATTAGAAAAATCGTAGTTCATATATAAATACACTTGCTGAGGTCAGTCCCATGTGTTACTATTGTCCATTAGTCCGGAAATTCATAACCCCTTCAAAATATGCCCGCCTCAAAAATTTTGATGATGCAACTTGCACCACGAAACCCCCTTCTGGGCACCACTGGCTGCAAGAAAAAATAAAGTCGTCAAGAAGATAAAAAGGAGTTCAATACATTGACTTTTCTAGTTTTAGAAAGAAAATAATGAGTTATTCTTAGAAAGTGAATTGTGTAAAAAGTATTATAGTAAAATTAACATATGCTTAGAAAAATTAACTTGAATTTTGTATTAATATTAATAAAAAAAAATTTTTTTTTTAATTTTTTTTTTAGCAAAAACCATTTGTTATCGAATATGAAGAAGAAGGAAAGAAAAAATATAAGGGATATTGCATTGATCTAATAGATGAAATAAAAAAGTTGGTCGGATTCGATTATGAAATATATGTAGCACCTGACAACCAATTCGGTAATATGGATGATAATGGAAATTGGAACGGAATGATAAAAGAACTTGTAGACAAGGTATTTAGATTATTAATATAAACTAACTAGATATTGTTGTTAACTGCAAAGCAAAAGAATGAATATGTTTGATTCACGACATAATACAATACAAAATATTAAATGTAACAAATTACACAAATGAATATTATATAGGGTATCCTGGGAGTAGAGGGAAATATTTATAAAGGCGGTAGTAGACCTCAAAAGCTACAATTTTTTGTTTATATAAACAATGGTCCAATTCCCAGCAGAATAATAGGAAATCTAAGTTTTGTGTTTTTTTAAGTGCCACATATTTTGTTGAATAGTAAGCGATAACTAAAAAATGTTTAATTTTAGTAATTAACGACTGCTTCACAGTAGACTGAACAAAATTTATTTTAGAGGCAAAATGAATTCGTCTTATTTAATTCAAACTTTAGAGAAACTTCCTTGTTTAATAAGCTGTAACTCCATATTAATCAAATTCAGAATTTATAATATAATTTATAATAGTTTATAATATAACCTGGGATGTATTACAATAAAATTAAATTCATAAATAAACTTTTTATTTATAAAAACAATTGTTAAAAATAATGATTTTTCAAATATTTACTATCTAAACTGTGTTTTTATAATGATCTCTGTTATAAATATTTATAGGAATTTATTAATATTTATAAGTGACAAACAAAATGTTCCTAAGCCTTATATTTATATTTTCATGAAACTATTAATGAAATTATTCAGAGGAGCCAACTAGTATAGTTGATATTTTTTTAAGTGAAAGGCCTTTTTTATTTTTTATTTTTGAAGGCATTATATTATTTAATATAAATAATTTCTTTTCCAGAGAGCAGAGATTGCCTTGGGCTCGCTGGCGGTGATGGCTGAACGAGAAAATGTTATAGATTTCACTGTCCCCTATTACGACCTAGTCGGGATAACAATTTTAATGAAGAAGCAAACAACGGCGACATCTCTTTTCAAATTTCTTACAGTACTTGAAAACGATGTCTGGCTTTGTATATTAGCTGCATACTTTTTTACAAGGTTAAAAAAAAAATAGTATGAAAATAATGTAGAATTGAAAATTTATTTTTCTATTCCTATACATTTTAATACTAATTAATCTTTTTAGAATCTTTTCATAATAGCTGATAGATTAGTTTTTGATTAAGTGTGATTTTTATTTTGTGAACCTTGATCCCGTCAATATAGAATTAAAACTGAAAGAAATATATATGTAAAATAGGGTGATGCCAATATATCATTCAATAATATTTTGAAAAATATTTCAACATTTAACAAAACATGTAAGACTTCTTTATAAAAAAAAATCCTTCAAAACAACTAAAGATCAAGAAAGATAAACAGTCAGTTGTAGGAATATAAATGAAATTATTGGTATGAAGAACTCATATTAGAGAAAATTACAAAAAATTTGATATAAGATTTCTTCATCACCACTCAACTCTCAAATCTCTTTCTTAATGCATATATTGTTGAGGGTATCCATTTTGTCGATTAAATATTACCAAGTTTTGAGAAAGAAGGCAGCAGAAAATGAAAAAATAATAAGACAACTAAAACCTTGGTTCAATGCCATCAAGAAAAGATTCTTGACCTAGCTAGAAGTGAGTAAAGATACCAAAATGGCACTGTAAAAAACACTTTCAAAAAACAGGATATGAGTTTTATATTATTTTTGTTAATTTTATAATATTAAATATTAATAATAACAAATAATTGTTGTGAACTGATTACCGAGAATTGCTTATCAAAGTTCACATGGTTGATCAGTTGTTAGAATTCGACCACCATTGCTTGGACTTAATAAGCAATCCGAAAATGAACTTTTTAATGAGGTACTATTATTAAAAAAATATGTTGATAAGGAAAAGGATAAATCTTTGGCATCAGCAAGTTAACTTCAATTGTAACTTTGATTACCAAAATTTTGTCACCTCCAATAAGTTTCATAGCATTTTGCTGGCGCAAAACATCCAATTGTTAAAAACTGTGTTATTATTAAAGTCATAAATTACACCTCAAATACATCATCAAGTTATTCCCTCTCAAAAATTCGTCTTTAGAACTAAATTATCAACTTTATTTCAGCTGAATATATTTGTATCATATTATCATTATGTAAAATGAGTCATGAACTGAGTCATAAAATGAGTCACCACAAAACTTTTAAAAGTCTGATCCAGCCCATGGAGATGCGATTCATGCATAGGATCAAAGGAAAACAAAAAGAGAAACCGCATAAGAAACTAAACAATAAGAAAAACCTGAATATAAAATCAACTGAGATGGTTATCGAGAAAAATTGCTTGAGGTGGTTTAGTCATGTACCTTGTATGGTAGAGTATGGAATGGCCTGGATCAAGCCTCAGGGAAGGCCCAGGAAGACTTGAAAGGAATGGCTCAAGGAAGATGAATGGATTTGATAGAAGATAAATGGACTGGAGTAGGAGGTGGCAGTTGGCACAGGATCGGGTATTGTGGATTTGGCTCAACAAGAAGTCTCCTTATTCTGCTGTGGTGGGAGAAAAGAAGAATTAATAGGCAAATTGAACAATCAATAAAAAAAAAAAAAGAAAGAGAAAACTCATGTTATTTTATATCTGTGAAGATTTAAAACTAAATTAGACTCCAATTTCAATTCAATTTTTATCTTATCAGTCACAAAAAATAATAAAATTAATCTTACAAAGTACCATAACTTGAGACAATTTGGATCCTAGTAGGTTACCTGCATTCAAGCTGGAAAAAGTAGGAAAGATGTGATAAAGTACCTCAGGACTTAACTGAATTGCTGATACATAATGTAGATATTGTGAATTATATCTACAGTATATTTTCATATCAAGAGACATAGGTATAATTTAAATTTTTAAAGTGAAAACTTTCTTAGCCGTATTTTGCACATTTTTGTGGAGAGCGAACTAGATTGACCCATCAGATTTCCAATGTGTAACACTCGGGTAAAGTCAGCTAGGATTGAATAATTGAAATGTTTTTTCATATGGATTAAAATATCTCAGAAATTAAAAATCTGATCTGCATACTGTAAGCAAGGAAATTGTTCAGTGTTTCATCCTCTCTGTAATAGGCTATAATTCCAATTGTATCTTAATGCGATGCAGTGTTAGGAAGACGAAATGGAGAAAATAGTATATAACCAAATGATATTGAGTTTAGTTGAACATATGGATTAAAATATTTCAGATACTAATAATTAAATCTGTATACCGTAAGCAAGGAAAATATTTAGCATTTCATCTTCTCTGTAATGAGATATTATTTAAAATTGTATCTTAACCCAACAGCATGTTAGAAATTAGAAGAGGGAAAAAATAGTGTCCCAAACCAAATGATAACAAGTTTTATGGAAGATATGGATTAAAATATATCAGAAAAAAAAAATCAGGCTTGCATACTGTAAGCAAGGGAAATGTTCAGCATTTCATTTTCTTTTTAATGAGTTATTATTTATAACTTATATTTCATATTATTAATCTTGCCTTGTTGACGTTTTAACTTCTATCATGTGGTCTAAAGCACAAACCAACAACAAAATTAATTTTTTTTTTTTTAAGGGTCCAAGTAATCCCTAATTGGTTCAAGTAATTCAAACTTAAGGTAGATATTTGAATTAAATTTAGAGAGAGGCTGATGGATTTTAATTTGGAATATTTTAAAAATAGATTCATAATTAATATTTTTGGTCTCTTTTTAGAGTTTTACTTCTATTTTATATATTTAATAATTTAATCATATTGTTTTTGTTTTTTTCAGTTTTCTCATGTGGGTATTTGATAGGTGGTCTCCTTACAGCTACCAAAACAACAGGGAAAAATACAAAGATGATGAGGAAAAAAGGGAATTCAATTTAAAAGAATGTTTGTGGTTTTGTATGACCTCACTCACTCCACAGGTAATTAAAAAAGATTCTAACTGATTTTGATACTATTTTCATTTGTATACTGTCATACCAAGCCCTTACGATTATGGAACAGAAAGAAAAATGGATATATTTTACTACAAGCAACTATAGTACTTTTACTAATACCTATGAAGTATTTTTTTTTTATGTGATGCACGATATAGCAAAAGGTGCTTAAAACATAAATTCCCTAAGATTGACTTAAGGAATTTATGTTTTAATCAACTATTTTAATTGAAAAATTCTTTTCTTTTAACCTTCAGCTTCAAAACATCTCCTTTAGTTACACAGGTCCTTGTCAATATGGCTACACAAGTCAGATTATTTGTCTCATAAACTATCAGCCTGGTAGGTATGTTCTTATTAATCCAGGGGGGGGCTTTCGGGGTGAAGCCCCTTCCAAAATGGTAATATGTAACCATGTTTTATGTAAAAAAATATTAAAAAATTATCTCTTAAAGTATTATTGTACATGTAATCACATTTAAAAGGTCTTTAGGAATCATTTAAACTCCATTTCATGTAGGTAGTTAGTTTATTTCTCTTTTTCCAAAGTAATTATCGTTATTTTTATGAAAAAAAAAGTTTCGGGCTGAAGCCCCCCAAAATTAAATCCTGGATTCGCTACTGTATAATCTTATCACAAATTTAAATGAAATATATATTTTTTCAGGGTGGAGGGGAGGCTCCAAAGAACTTGAGTGGAAGACTTGTAGCGGCTACCTGGTGGTTATTTGGTTTTATAATTATAGCTTCATATACTGCAAATTTAGCCGCATTCCTTACAGTTTCAAGACTCGATCAACCGATTGAATCACTCGACGATCTTGCAAAGCAATATAAAATTCAATATGCTCCACTCAATGGCTCGGTAGCCATGACTTATTTTCAAAGGATGGCTAATATTGAGAAAAGATTCTACGAGTGAGTTTAATTTTAATTATAAAAAAAAATTCAATATCATACAGCTGAAAACAACTAAATTAAACTATGCCTTTCAACAGCTTATAGAAATTGTTATAAAATAAGAATATTGTTAAATTAATAAGCTCTAATATCAAATATAACATAAAAATCAATTTGATAACTTAAAAATTAAAACTTACTTGCAGGATATGGAAAGATATGTCTCTGAATGACAGTCTCAGTGAAGTCGAGCGGGCTAAACTTGCAGTTTGGGATTATCCGGTAAGTGACAAATATACCAAAATGTGGCAAGCTATGAAAGAAGCAAAGCTGCCAAACACGTTAGAAGAAGCTCTGGATCGTGTCAGGAATTCTAAGTCTTCTTCAGAAGGATTTGCATTTCTTGGTAAATTTGAGTTAATGGACAACCTGTAAAATAATAAAAATACAGTGAAATTTATCAAATCAACAGATGAATTCCAATAGTTTATAAAGAGATAAAATGAAAAAGATATCGTCGGTTTATTGCAAAAAGTCATTAAGTAACATTATAATGAATTTGAAATAATCAAATTTAAAGTTTCTAATTCATTAAAACAATACTAAAATAGCAATTTGATTATTAATTTTTTTTTTATTCGCAATTCTAAATATGTATTCTATTTCCGACAATTAATTAAAATTCTTGAATATACTGAACAATGAAAAATTAAAAAAAAAAATGAAAGTACGACGCACATAGTAACTTTTTGCACACTAACATAGTTAAACAAAACACTACCTTACTTTTACAATCTTGCAAGTACAAAGAACAAGAGTTAGACTTAGCTCACTTAGTTGGTTTTATTAACCATCTGATCAATTAATCCAGTGAAAGAAGTCATTAAGTACCACATAGTGAATTTTGGTGATCTATTTTAACATTATTTAGAGAACAAAATATCATGAAGAACCAGATAGAGAATTTGCACTATAAAGTGAGATTATCCTGCATTTAGTGAAACTATTTTTTACAAATAAAAGGATCTGTATTCACATAATCAGTTATTGTCTTGATAAATATGATCAAAATTGACAACTTAGTGACTTTTTGCAATAAACCGATATATATTTAGAGTTATAATTGTCAAAAAATTAAATTTATTTTATAAACTAAAAAAAATATTATTTCAATATTTAGGTGATGCAACTGATATAAGATACCAGCAACTGGTAAATTGTGAATTCCAAATGGTTGGGGATGAATTTTCAAGGAAACCTTATGCAATTGCTGTACAACAAGGTTCACCTTTGAAAGATCAATTCAACAATGCGTAAGACATTTTTTTTAAATAGTCATATCTTAATCATAACAACCCATGATATTTTTTGGATCAATAATTAGTAGAGAAATAGTGTTTGCAGACCAACGATTGTGCATGAACATTTGACAGAGATCATGCTCAATTTCCAGTTGTTTTTTTTTCATTTATCAATTAAATAATTAAACATACCTAAATTGTAGAGGCTAGGTATGCCCCAGAAGGGCCATCCCTCCCCAGAATCAATCCATAGCAGATGTAACAAAATGAAAATCATCTGCCACGCCTGAATTCAAACCCAGGAAATAGTAGCCCAGTTTCTCACTCAACTCACTGAGCTATCATATCCCTATCTTCATAATCATACATGTATTAAAGAAAAAAAAGTGAATCCATTTTTAAAATTTGTATTAATATTAATATTAATGGTAACCCATAGGTGTTAACCCACCTTTATTATTTGAAATGTGAATTGTTGAAAATTTATCAATACATATATTGAGTAGTACATAAAAATAATATCTGTGTATTTTTAGAAAAATATTTGTAGTTCTCAATTATTAGGTTATAATTGGAAATATTTCAAACCAAACAGCTTTATGTCTCCAAAATGAAGGCAAAGAAAGAAACCGTCAAAATTTCGCCAATTCAGACATCATCAGGAGAGAAAAAAACAGCTAATCGAACATCACTCCATGACATCCAATCATGCATTGATCTGATAGTAATAGAGTGATGTTCGATTAGCTGTTCTTTTCTGTCCTGAATTGGTAAACGTTGATGATTTTCTTTCTTTGTTGGAATTTTGGAGACATAAGGCTGAATGGTTTGGAATTTTTACAATTATAACCAATTATGTTCTATCTCTTGATTAGTTTTTTTTTTACTAATTTATATTAGTTCTTAATTATATTTGGAATTATTGAAAAATGATCATACATAATTACTAATTATAAAATTAGTCATATTAAAATTATTTTTTGTCAACTATGAATTTATATTTATAAGATTCTAATCATTGCTTTTTAAAAAGTATTCTTCAGTTATTAAACAAGCGAAAACTGGAGAAATTGAAGGAAAAATGGTGGAGTGAGAACCCTGAAAGACAGAAGTGTGAAAAACAGGATGATCAGTCAGATGGAATCAGTATTCATAACATTGGTAATGAATATATATGGTTATGTTTGAAAAAAATATATTTATTATACTTTAATAGATACTTGAGTAAATAACACAGGTTGTGAATGTTTCAGGTGGAGTTTTCATAGTTATTTTTGTTGGAATTGGACTTGCTTGTATAACGTTAGGATTTGAGTATTGGTGGTACAAATACAAGAGACCAGCTGATGGAGGTGGTGGTCCAATGGTGGTAAAACCTACGATAGGAGGAGGAAGAAATGTAGAAAAGTTGAGTGTAACTGGATTAGCAGATTTCGGTCATCATGCAACATTCAGATCTAGAAATACACATAATTCTAATATGAGGTAATAAGTGAAATTTGTCTCAAACTTTTAAAAAGTTCATAAATAATATATTATACATTTTTATTAGGTGTAGTTCAGAAAATGCAAGTGCCCATACCCATAAAAGATAATAAGTTATATTAATATTATGTTGTTTTTGAATGATGTATACACACATATATGTTCACTTTTTTTCTAATGTTAATATTAACATGACCCTCTCAGCCCATTACTACAAAAAGGCTCGGTTGACCTGGAGAATATCATACCGACTAAACCACCTTCTACTTTCACCCGCCCTCTCCCTCTGTCTGAAAATTAAAATTTATAAGAGCATTCTGAGATCTGCACTATTTTATGGCACTCCGCTCTGCATACATCTCCATGAAGGAAAACAGCATCACCTACAAAAGTATCAGGACAGTATAATAAAAAAAATTGTCCGCTCCACATCATTAAAAAAAGATGAAGCCAGAATATTAACATGACAACACCAGTTATTTCAGCTGCTGAGTTCCATAATTCATAAAACGCCGCCACATCAAATTTTTCAATGCTGTGAAACATACTGCACATCCCCTTTTCAGTACTCTCACTCCATCCTTGATACCAGTACATTGGCAACAAGCAGTGCTGGAAGCTAATTAATTCACTGTAAGCCATTGAATGACTTTATGGAATAAAAAAGAAAAAAATTAACTTTAGTTCTTTAGAACCTTTGCAGAACAAAAATAAAATATGCTCCAGTATTTAAAAAAAATAAATAAAGAAAACAAGATAAAGAAAGCACAGTTTAACAATAGAAATCAAAAACTCCTCAAAATCCAGTATCATTGCAACAAAAGGAGAAAAATGGAAGCAAGATTTAATACAAACTCACAAAGAACAATAAAGGGGTTTGGGAAAAAAATAAATAATTTTTTTTATTTTATAAGATAACTAACAATTTTTGTTTGAAACAATACATTTTTTTTTCTGTAGACATTATAGACCTTATACATCTTTTGCCGCCTTAACATGCCTGCTCCATCTCTGCCTGTCTTGGTCTATTTCTTTCCAGTTATCTGCATGCAGCTCTATTGCATCTTTGTTGATTTGATATGCACATCTAGTTTTTGGCCTTCCACATGATCTTTTGCCTCCTATTGAGTCATTGATTGTCTTGTAGAGGCTTCCAGATGGATTGCTTCAAGCTACATGTTCCCGCCAATTTTAAGTTCCTTGCTTTCATATCATATGGTATTGATTGACTAGTTTCTGTTAGCAGCTCTTTATTGCTCTTTCTCCTCCATACATTAGTATTCTGATCTCAGATCACTCTGGTTAACGTTTGTAAAAACATTTAGAAATGATAATTAATTCTGGGACTCTTAAACCTTTACCACTGTAAGTTTATAAGAAAGTAGCTATTTAACACAAATTCATTTAATTTGAATGATGATATACAGGTTTGAGGTAAACCAGTAATAGACATTTTTAAATTCATGAACAATTAAGGAGCATTTTAGAGATTTTAAGTACGAATAGATTTTTAGTGGACACACACAGAATAGTGATATCTGAACAAAAGCTTATTTCATGCTCTAATGGTTCCTTTTTTAATAAAATAAGACTTAGTGTTTGTCACATAAAAACTGCCTTATCACTTTTGTTTAGAAGAGAAGTTTGAAATCGTATACATAATTTGGAATAACTTTAATTTATTAGACAGTATTTTTCTATTTCTTAATTAAAAATCAATGCAGAATTTATTTTAATTGCTTTTGATTATATAAAATAACCTATTAATTCCTAAACTTGGGTGTCATTGGAACAATATTTAAGCAATAGAGCTTATAATAGACACACATGACTAATACTGAATCATTTCGTTTTTAACTATTTCATTGATTGGTTAGTAAATATTAAAAAATAGTATGCCTAGAAATTTTATTTATGATCGCAGGAAGTAGTAATAATAACAATATTTGACATCTCAGGCCGTATGATTCATGGATAAAAATTATAAATCTTTTGTAATGCTTCGGTTAAGTTTATGTATTTCATTTTATGTTGATGTTTAAAAGAAAGCGCCATGAAATCACAAAAAATGCATCAAATTTTGTAATAAATAAAGTTACAAACTTTATATCAAGCCCCTATTCCAATAGTATTGTTCAGGCCAGAACCTCAAAAAACTAAGACAAAAAACATAATCAAGAGAGATAATACAAAGTGTAACCACATCCAAACACTGTCAAGAATATCATATATGGAAAGAAAATATGATGAGAGATTTGTTTAGGAAGAAAGAGAGAGCCTTGGCCAAACTAAAAAAAAAATGCAAAAGGCAAAAGTAATATAGTAAAAAAGGCAAAAGTAATATAGTAAAAAAAAGCAAATATATATATATTTTTTTTAAACATTATAATTTTATTTTGTTTATTGTTATAATTTTTTCCTATAGCCTGTCTATAACTGGTACAAAAGAATGTCTATTAGTGGTTCTTTCAAAATTCTATGTGTCCAATGTAATAATAATAAAATGGTTTAGTGAACCCGAAGGTTCGATGCTGATACCACCAATCTCTTATTACACACTTCCCTCCACCGTTCGCCGTCCAAACCCAGTCCCTTCTGATCGGCTTTAACACTATCTTCCCACCTTCGCTTCGGTCTATCCCTTGGACGTTTACCATTAGGTATAGCAAATATTAACCTTTTAGGAATTCTTTCGGTACTAAGCCCAACATTTTTACAAACCCATTTGATATGCTGCGATGTAATCACCTCAATTATATTAAGCAGATAAAGTTCATGCGGTTTGTGTAACTGTCTGAAATCTCCGGTTAACTCATCCTTCTTTGGTCTGAATATTCTACGCAATACTTTATTTTCAAAAACCGTAACACGTTGCTCATCCTTTTATGTAAGCGGCCACGTTTTGCATCCATAAAGAACTGTAGGCATGATAATGGTTTTATAGATTCTAGTTTTTGAGTTCCAGGACAAGACTATGTGTCTATTACTGGTACTAAATCAGTTTACAATTTTACAACTTTTATATGAAAAGTGATACAGACTGCCTATCTAATGCACTTCAATGAAAGACTAAATTTGCTTTAAATTAAATCCTTGTGAAGATCCAACATCAGAATTAAAGCTGAAGTTCCCATTAATGTTGAAGAATTCTCTTAATATGTCTATTACTGGTACATTTACCTAATAAGCTGGTTTTTTCTTCCTATATTATATGGACTGCTTTATCCAGATTATCTCCACAACCTACTCAAGAGAGCTATGTAGTCTTACCGATTGTTGTCCAGAGGAAGAAGTTTTCTCCATAGTTTATTCCAAAATGCTTAAAATTTCTTTCCTATACTTTATTTATAGTGACTGCCAACAGTATTTAAGCCAAGCTGTGATAGCATATTTACCTACATTTTTTCAGATCTATAAACTTTTTTTTTTTCCTATGCAAGGTTTTTTTTATAAAACCTTAAGTCTTTCTTAATAAGTGGTCTAACTAAAGCAAAAATAATTTTTCAAGAAGAGTGGTAGTTGCTGAAATTAGCCCATCTGGTAAAGTAAACCTTTCAGTTTTATATTCTGGTATGGAAAAAACAATGGTACTAATAAATATGTATATATTTTTATAGAAGTTGGCTATATTAATTATAGAAATATTTATTGTAAAAACTATCTTAAAACTATTCCACCAAACCTGACATTAGACACCAAACTTGTAAACAATAATATTAATGTAATGAGAAAGTTTTAAAATTATAATTATTGTGAAGGCTCACCTGCATAGAATTGTTATTTTCAATACACCAGTGTCCTCTTTGTCAGGTGGAGGATACAGATGCATATCATGTAAGCACCTGTTTGATTCTGCAAATAAGAAAAAAAATTTATTGAAATTATCCCTTTTTCAAAAATAAATATATTAACAAGTAACCAGGTCCAAATGGAAATCAATAGAGAACTCCTTAAAATACTTGTCTTGGAGAATTCAACAAATAACATTGAAGCTAAAATTAAAACTAAAATTACTGAATCCCACACATTATATGTAAAAATAGACATAGACAGACAAAACACTACATTCACACCAAGTTTACCCAGTTTATATTAGGTTGTATAAAGTTCTTTTCCTTTTCTTGTTGTGTTCCTTTTCTTGTTTTGTTCCTTTATTTGTTTTTTTAGGTTGATTTACTGAGTTATATATGAACCGTTCTGCTATATTATCTTCTTCCATCTCTCAGGAAGCCTCTTATACCCTTTTTAAAAATTGTTAAGTTTACTTGCAAATTATTCGGGATGCGATTTCATTTCGTTTTCGGATTTTTAACATTGATCATGGAGAGAATTTTTCAACAAAAGAAACAAGTAATAATTGGATGGGAAATGGTACGGAGGATGAAGTAATAAGTACCAATCAAGCTAAGAGTTTTTGTCTTACGGCCAATTCTGCATGTTTCGTTGGCCATCAGACAGAAACTCTTACAGTTTGATTGGTACATTCTACCTCATTCTCTGTAATCCCCATCTCTAGCTTCATCAGATTATCACTAGTTTCTTTTGTTAAAAAGTTCTCTCTGATAAATGTCAAAAATCCAAAAATGAAATGAAAATTCATCTCGATATATATATATATATATATATATATATATATATATATATATATATATATATATATTGTAGCTCTCAACAATTTTTAATAAGGGTATAAAAGGATTCCTGAGAGGTGGAAGAAGGTAATAGGTCAGAGCTGTTCATATATAACACAGTAAATCAAACTTATATTACGTATAAAGAGAAGGAAAAGAACTTATGAAACAACCAATATTAAAAATCTTTAATATTCAAATTACCTAAAAGAGAGGTGCTGCTTTGAGAAGTGATGGGGTATTTACTCGAGCCATGTGACAATTTACACATGGGGAAGGAGACTTACCACTTCTTAGGAATACGTCCGTTTTTGAGAGTTCTGAAAAGGCAGCTTGGGTAAGAAACAATAAATTCTGAAGGAAGTGATAAACAAATTGAATGGGACAAATTGATTTAATCATGCCATAATTATATAATATAGTGAAATACTGAAATTTTCTAATTAACCTTTTCAGTGTAAATATGGATTCTAACAACAATAAATGTTGTAAAAGCAATGAAGATGCCTAAAACTAATCAATAAATAGTTATAAAAGCTTATGAAATTAGAGATAAGGGGAAACGAGTAAAGGTTTACAATTGGGCAACTTGACTGATGGCTTACAACCATTGTCTTTATACACTTTTTTATAAGATCACTTTTGTTATATAATGTGATTGTAAAAATAAAAGCATTTACTCATTCATTATGGTCGCTATTTTCCTGATCATTTCATGCGTTCAGGAGTGGATTCATTTTAGGACTTTTGTTGCACCCCATAGACATAATCATGTCTCTAAGTACAATCATTGCTTCATAGTTAAAAACTGAGTGAAAATAATTATTATATATACGTGTATTCAATTGAACTATTTTTTTTTAATTTACTAATTCATTTGATTGCTGCTCCATTCTACTTGGAATGGAACACACTTGTAAATGCCACTAGGAGTCAGCTGTGGTAATAAATAATAATAATAATTCATTTGAATCTAAAAATACAATTTCATTCAAATTTGCCACTATGTGAAAATTACTACCCCAGTCAGACATATTTCATACATGGAAAAATAAATGATTTAAAAAAATTAAAACTACCATTAACTCTTTTTTTTCAAGTTAGTAAGTATAAAAGACTGGATGAGAAGTTCAAGCTCATTTGATCTCAATAATTATAATTAAAAACATTGAGAACTTGAATTGAAAAAAAAAAATATTCTACTGAGAAAAGTTTGATAAAATAACAGCAATAGAAATGAAGATCCATACTACTTTAATGTCCTCTTCAGAAATCATTTATGTGGAAAGTCGTTGATTTTCCAAATTAGATATTTTGTATAGCAACTGCAGAGAAGTATGTCACCTGAAATATTAGTAACAGTTAAAACAAAAATAAAGAGTAATTATACTTATATTTAGATATTACAGAAGTACTTTTCAAGAGTACTCAATGTTCTTATATATAGTGTCTTCAAGGAACATGTAAGCCCTTATACTTTAAAGACTTATTCCAGTTCAAACGATGTTTCGAGCTCATTAGCTCATTCTCAAGTCATTTACAAGTATCAATTAACAAACATAATTTACAACCATGATCACTCTAGTCAAAGAAAAAGAGAGAACCTACCAAAAATTTTTATCTATGAAAATATATTTCTATATTATAATTTCATTAAACATTAATGTGTTTAAACATGCAATTCACCACAAATGAATGTTTAATGAAATTATAATGTAGAAATGTATATTCGTGGATACAAATTTTTTGTAACTTCTCACTTTTTATATGATTAGATAATGAGTGATCATTGTGGTAAATTATGTCTGTTAATTGTTATTTGTAAAGATGACTTGAGAATGAGCTAATCAGCTTGAAACGTTGTTTGAAGTGGAATAAGTCTTTAAAGTATAAGAACTTATATATTCCTTGAGGACACCATATATAAGTAATTATACTGTTTGTTAAAAAAAAGAGCAGTGAAATATATTTATGTGAAAGCTTTGAATTTCAAAACATAAGATAAAAATGGAGGGTTATTAATGAAATAGTGGTTGCATTTTGTACATTGTACATATTATTACAAAAGTTAATCTGAAATTTCTTTTGAATATTATTTAGTTGAATAATTAATAAAAGAAATACCATTCCAATCAAATGAGTCTAATGATTGTTCTATTGTTAATTTTTAAAAACATACACATATTATCTATTATACTCGTTAATATTAATGAGTTAAACAAACTACATGGATAACACAAACTATATACATGCTGTTTTTCTCTTGTGTAGCAAATATGTGATCGGTTTATTGTGAAAAGTCAGTTAATAAAAGTTTTTACAGTTATATCAATAATATTTCCTATCTGAAATCAAAGTTTAATGAATTTAGTGTAACTATTATCGACATATAATACATTTTATGTTATTTTGATGTATTTAATGGGTTTTTTCATTGATAAATATAATAAAAATCCACAATTATTAACAGTTTAGTTGAATCGGAAGTGTACTTCGATCACTTTTGCAGTTAATCGACAATATATTTAAAATCTTTATACATTTTAGTTACTATATTAATTTCTAATCAATCATGATTTGTACAAAGTATTCAATTCGGAAAAATAAGTATATGTATATTATAAAGTTATTACTTATGAGCCTTATAATTTCATAATGAAAATTATTATAAATTGTTCAATAGCTACAATGATTGTCATTAAATCTTACCTGAATTCATTAGTATATCCAATAAAAATTTAATTTTTTGAGTATTTCAATAAAAAAAGATTTTAAATGAATGCAATAAATTTGCATATTGAAAGATCATTTTTATAAATCATTATTTCTTAAGATATTAGTAATAATAATTTCTAATTAAACTTAATATTTTTAAAATTTGAATATTAAAAAATAAATCCTTGTAGCATTTGAAACATGAAAACACCTTCAATGTTAGTGAAGACTATCATTTTGCAAACTAAAGTACAGACTGGCTACCAGTTCCCCTACTCCACAGTTAACTTAATTTGTGCAGTAGTATTATAGGTACTGATTTGATTTTCCAACCTTTTAGAAATTTCATATTATACCAGTATAACTTAATTTATTACATTTACAAAGTTAAATATACAAACCTTAAACAGAAATGCTTAAATGAATACTGGAATTTAATAGCTTTTTCTTCACCATTTTCAGAAGAGGGAGTGAAAAAATCACTGCTTAATAGATCACTAGTACATAATTTTTATAGAACAAAAATAAAAAATGCTAGTTTTAATTATTTGTCCATTATGAAATTAAAAACATTTTAAAAATTTAAATATATTTTTAATACTAAAGTTTTAACTTTTGGATACAAACAAAAAAATCTAAATATACTTAAGTGGTATTTGGTACTAATAATTATTTAAAAATTCTGTTAAGACTATAAAAATTTATTAAAAGGAATAATTTATTAAATAATAATTTAAATATTAATATATTTTTTGCTCAATTTTTTTGTTGTAATTAAAATAATAGGATGACCATGTACTTATTTTGGAATCAAATATTTTTCCTAAAATATTTTTTAAATACTATTATTACATTTTTATTTATTTAAAATAATTAATTTAAATTATATTTAATTTATTGTTTTCAGAAGAGGGAACTTAGGTCAAATACCTACTTCACAATGGTAAACAAGAATAGTGAATATTGTTTTTTTTTTAATATAAAAAAATATTCAATGTGTTTGTAATTAGAATTATTTGAAATTTTATTGAATATTTTACAAATAAAATTGTGTTGAATAACGTACTTATTTTTTATAGTATTAAGTTCCTTGTATCCTTTATTCTATTATATGAAAACAAAAGATGAAGTATTAATGTTAATAATTAAATGTTTTTAAAATATAAATTTTATTAATAATATTCGAAGGTTTAGAAAGTATTTTTTAAAAACTATTTCATTGATATTCGAATTTTCGCGCCGCTCTGTTGGCTGCGTTTCGCGGTCTCAAACCAGAATATTCTTTCTCAGTGGCGTCGGTTTTTAGAAAGATGATTTATTTAGTTTTATTAGTTGTCGGATTACTGTGTAAATTAGTTGGTTTATAAGTCTCAAGTGTGTTTTCCAGTGTAATAATGGTGTTTTCTGTATTATTACGTTTAAAGTTCCGCGTTTCGAGAAAAAATAACGTAAAAACAGTGATAATTATCGGTATTCGGTATAGTGATCATCAAGCTTAACGAATATGGCTACCTGATTTCGATAGAATATTTCCAGGTAAGATATCTTTTGTAAGTTTTAATATTATATCTATGGCGAGCAAGCCAAATGATTGACTGCAGTATATATAATATTTGATGATTACTAAATTAAAATACAGTAAATAAAAAAAGCAGTAAGCAAATAGCAAAAAAGGAAACTAAGAAGCTTATGAATTATCTAGAAACATAATTATTTTGGATTTAATTTTTTTTTTTTTTTTTAAGATCGCCACAGATATATTACTAATTGTTATGTTATTTTAATTTTTCTACTTCCCATGCGAATTTATATTTGTTTTAAACATGGATAATCATCATTATATAAATTGATTGGTTCAGAAAATTATGAAAGATAGAGAATTGGTACATAACTAGATAGTTAAAGTTTTTTGGAATTTTATTAAATATATTTGCTTTAACAGTATATATTTAAATGAAACATTAAAAAAAATCATTGTTATAATAATGTTTAAATAAGAAATATAATATTAAATAAAATTTAAATCTTTTTAAAATTCATAGTACATCCCTTCTATAGATAGCGTTACCAGTAAACCGGTAATAACCGGTTATGTACGTTACAATCTACTTCTTCTTATAGAGATTATTTTATTTCTAATTACTTTATACATCTTTGTTTTATTATATGCATATTTAATATTATTATAATATATATATATATATATATATATATATATATATATATATTATATATATATATATATATATATATATATATATATATATATATATATACTCGAACCACAACTGATTCTATTTTTTGAATTGCTAAATAATGAATTAATTAAAAAATATAAATTAATAATTCATTTCTCTAAATCAGCATTATAGGAATTTTCAGTTTCGATACAGGGAAGTTTCAAATGTACATGAAATAAGATTATGTTCTTAAATATTTAAAATTAACTTTTTTCAGTAGTTTTGCAAATAAATAAATATTTATATGATGTTATAGTATTTATATAGTTTCTAATTGTTCAGATTAGAGCATCTATATAACTAAATTATATGTGAGATGCTGTATCGAAACACATCGATAAAAATTTGAGCGTCTCTTTATTCATCAATTGAATTACTGATGGCTCATCCGTTCCATTGGCAATTGGCGTCGATGGATCCACAGGATATAACTTCATTATAACCTAAGTGATGTTGTTTCTTAAATCACTTCACGTATAGGGCAAATTCATAAATTTAGCGCTAACATATTGATAGATTTCCGATGTTCATCAATGATCTCAGCGCTAAGTTTAGGAACTTGCCAATTTATTCTGTTTTCTTCCTATCTATATTCTGTATATTTTTAAATCCAACTATTCAGTAGGTAGGTATTTCCTATTCTGTTTTATTATTTTTAATTAAACAGGAAGTGTCACATTTGAATACAGCAGGTCGTCTCGTAATTCAGCGTACATTTTTGACCATCGCTGCTCTTAAACATCATTTTATGCAGTTTCTTTCTTTTTCTTCCTGAGTAATTAACTTTATAACAAAAAAAAAATTTGCTCCATCTCCAAAATTAAATCCTGTATACGCTATTGCTTTCAGACCTCTTTCTAGTCTTAGTTTTTTAAGTTTAATGTCAATCTATACTCCAAAATAGATATTCTATTTCGATATCGATGTATAATATCGAATCTGAAATATCGATATTGCCAATATCGATTGATCATCGGAATCGAACTAGTATCAGCGATGATACAGGTAGATAAATTTAGGTATCTAGGTTCTACGATAACTAGAAAAAACGAAATTGAAGAAGAGATTAAGGTTAGACTGAAGGCGGGAAATGCTTGTTATTTTTCTGTGACAAAACTACTTAGTTCGCGCCTCTTGTCCCGGAACTTAAAAATAAGAATCTATAAAACAATTATCTTGCCTACAGTTCTTTATGGATGCGAAACATGGCCGCTTACATTAAGTGATGAGCAGCGTCTTAAGGTTTTGGAAAATAAAGTATTGCGTAGAATATTCGGACCGAAGAAGGATGAGTTAACCGAGAGTTCAGACGGTTACACAACGCCGAATTGCATGAGCTGTATTCGGGTAATATAATTGAGGTAATTTCATCGCGGGGCTTGTAATTAAATGGGTAATTAAATGGGCTTGTAAAGTTACTGAGCTTAGTAACGAGAGAATTCCTAAAATGTTAATATTTGCTGTGCCGAATGGTAAGCGTCCGAGGGGTAGACCGAAGCGAAGGTGGGAAGATTGCATTAAAGATGATCTGAAGGGACTGGGTTTGGACGGCGAACGGTGGAGAGAGGTGTGTAACAAGCGATTGGTGGTGTCGGCATCGAACCTTCGGGTTCGCTAAGCCTTTTATTATTATTATAAACACAATCATAACTATATACAATATATACATTCGCCCAGGAATCTCCGAGCCAGGCTTTTTCACCCACATGTGGAAGACAAAGCAAGACTCCGGAAGATCCCAGTGCCCCTTTTCCAGCCGCATCAATGGTAATTTCTAGTCTTAGTTTTTTAAGTTTAATGCCAATCTATACTCCAAAATAGAGTTGTTACGATATTCTATTTCGATATCGATGTATAATATCGAATCTAAAATATTGCCAATATCAATTGATATTTAAATTTAAAGAAAAAAGAGGTTAAAGAATAAAAAAAATAAAAAAGTTGTAAAGAAAAGAAAAATGTTTTGGAGCCTAACTAGCTAAGTATCTATTCTACTGTAAAATTTAAAATAAAACTTTCGATAGGTAATTAAATTACCAATAAAACAAACAAAAAAAAAAAAAAATCATCGGAATAGAACTAGTATTAGCGATGGTACAGCGTTTTCTATACATGTTTTACTTTATTACTTTCGTACCTACACTAGGTAAGGAAAGTATTGTGATCGGGACGAATTTCCGATTTGCTGTTTTCGACGGTTCTATACTTTTCAGAGCTCCCTAAGAAATTTTTACACTGATCTACCTTACGGTTTACATTGCTTTAGTTTATCAAATAAATCGTACTCAAATCTTTTCTTTGATCAATTTTCAGGAAAATAAATCTAATTCAATTTTTTTTTATTTCTTGATGGACATATGTAAAGATCTTAAAACTTTTCTGAAATAGGTAGGAAAGTCGTGTGAGTGGACACACCATATTTTTATGTTTGGGTTTGGAAAGGGGGGAGATTCAGGTAATTTTCGTTTTGAAAATAATTTCTTATACTGAAAAATAAAGAAAAACATTGTTGAGGAAGAAAATATTTTCTAGCCCTTGATATCTCGACACCCTCTTCCAGCTGCGATGATTAAGAAGCGATGAAGGCAAGTTGCTCTCGTACCCTCCTTCTCCTACTACCTTCCTCCGATGGCCCGAAACTTCACCTTCCTCGGGCATTGATTAATTAAGAGAGAATAAACGAGCTGGCAAAAAGGGCCACTCACAGTTGGGGAAGTGCTGACTAAGAGACTAAGAGAGCCGCCAATCTGGAAGGCATTGTACCTCCCTCGTTCTGGGCTAGTTAGCCTCCATTCAACCGTTTATTCATCCGATGGCCCATCTGGGACATCCTCCTGCATAGGCATAGTGTGTTTGTAATGTGCGGTCTATGGGTGTATTAGAAATATATTATCGAAATATTAATATACATTTATTTTTTTTAAAATCGATAGTTTTGTCTGATTGTTATATTTCAATAAATCGTGTATACTAAAATATTTTCTAACAAATATTTAAAATTCTATTTTGAGAATCACACATTTCGACACTCTCTGGAAATATTCTGAAGTTGTCATGGTCTTAAAACCTAATAAATCTTTAGACTCCCTAAATTCCTATCGTCCGATTAGTCTTCTTCCTTCTTTTTCTAAATTGTTTGAAAAAATTATTCTTCGTCGCCTTGATTCTCTCGATATATTTAAATTTATTCCAAATCATCAATTCGGCTTCAGAAAGCATCATTCAACTGTTCAACAATGCCATCGATTGGTAGATTATATTTCTAATTCTTTCGAATCTAAAAATTATTGCCCTGGAGTTTTTCTTGACATTAGTCAAGCCTTTGATAAAGTTTGGCATGAAGGATTGCTCTCCAAACTTAAAATTTTACTTCCCCCGACCTACTATCTAATATTACTTTCATATCTAACGGATAGACATTTTGTAGTAAAAGTAGGGACAGAACGTTCTGACATCAAACCTATTAAAGCAGGAGTACCTCAGGGTAGTGCCTTTGGAGCAATATTGTTTAATATATATATGTCTGACCTACCGGAACACAACGACACAATACTGGCTATTTTTGCAGACGATACCGCAATTCTAAGCTCAGATAAAAACCCTGTTCGAGCATCTACCATCCTTCAAAATCATCTGAACGTTATTGCAGACTGGGCAACAAGGTGGAAAATTAAGATGAATGAAAAAAAAAGTGTGCATGTGGTATT